AAAGGCATGGGACATTTTTGATTTGTTAATCACTAATGGTTTCATAATATAATCTCCTGAAGCATTGCTACAGAAAAGAATTGTTATGCGATCTTTTGCTGATTTATGACCACTAACCGATTTATAAAATTTTGAGACATAAGTCCTTTCAGGCATTTTTTTCCAGAGTAACCCTGACTCATCAGCATTGAAAACCTGATCAGGGGTGTATGAATTGTCGTTAATAATTTCTGCAAAATTTGCTGGATATTCTTGGGCTGCATCTACGTCGCCAGAAGCCAGTTCACCTTTTAATTCTAAGCTCTCTGTGTAAAGAATGTCTTATTTTAAATATTTCAAACCAGCCATGACTTGCCAAAAAATTTGGCTTCTTTTCAGTTGAAGAATAAGATGGCAATTGCTCTAAATTTTTTCGTGATTTCGTAATGCTTTATTTGTTATAGCGCCCGTATCAATGGGTACTCTTTTTTGTGTTTGATCTTCTATCCAAAGCATTAACGCTTGCTCCAATTTTTCCATTGCGATATTTCTGGTGTATGATGTGCTCATATATGTGTATTGCCAGCTGCAACACTCTTTCTAATTGTGTTTTCATTTGTTCTAATAGTTCTTATTGTAGTTTGTTCATGCTATATGATATCGCAACATCTACTACTCTATCTCCCTTTCATAAGCGATCCAAAATTTCGATTTTAGTTTCTAAAGAAATAACTTTTCTTTTAACTTCTTTCTTCATTTTTTTTTCTTAATTTATGTTAATTTGGCTGGGATTAAAGTAAAATTCAGAGGGAAAAAATGCGGGATATTTTGGAGGGAAGATTAAAAACTTGTATTTTATAAAATATTTTATATTATAATTTTTATTTAAATTAAAATGTTTTAATTTTTTTATTTTAATTAAACCTATTTGGTAAATTGCCATCATTTCCCCCCAAAATTACCGGATTTTTTCCCGCGATAAAAACAAAAATAAACTTATTTGGAAAACCGTGTAAAAGCGAAAACGTGTAAAACAAGTACCGTGTAAATCGAGGGGAAGGTATACTTTTTTCACAATTTTATCATGAATAGACAATTATCCTTTATTACCAAGCCAAAACTACAATAGAAAAATGACATCTAAAGTAACAAGGTTACTTAAATCTTAACACTGGACTGGACTCCACAACTTAACCCATACGTTCTATTTATAGCACAAATGTGTTAAACTATGTAAGTTGTGCTACAACAAAGAACAAAAATGCAAAGACACAACTGACATATTGGAAATGTGGCCGGGTTATGAATATTATTATAAGTTTATATTTATCGGTCATATAATAACAAGAATATATTTTTATTTGAGAGAGATAGAGAGAGGGATATTTATAACCCAGGGAACGCAGAACACCAACTACCTGAGAAGTCCAGCTCACCAGTATGGACTAGTGGTAAGTACTTTTACTCGCGTCCTATTGTAATTGCTTAGTTGAACCAGTTGAACGGGAAGTTCCATGCTGAGGTTGAGTCTAGAAAGCTAGCCATAGATGTAGGATTGAGGTGGGTCAGTCAAAGCAGGAGCTTATTATTTAATTGCCAGACTCTCTCGTATCTTTTTATTTTTGATCGTTGAATGCAGGAAGGTACAACGGACCGACGCGGTCGATTCCATCCACCTCAGTGCACCACTTCATGATGAAACTATCCTTAGGCCCCTATATAAGCGAGGAACGACCATTAATGATGTCGCGTATGCGGTCCTGTACCCCCATCTTAGGGAGAGTTTTCTCGCGGATACCTTACCTAAATACAATATTATTCTTGTCTAGTTCCTCAACATATATATAGACATCGAGCATGCTGGGGACACGGATTCCATAACTCGCAAGGGCCTGTCTGAAATCAAGACGATTCTAAGCTCCTCATAGGATCCAGACGTTATTTCGGAGAAGGCCTCGTCTGGTGTATATATTTTCTATACTATTTAAAACTCTGTAAACTCTCTCTTGACCCTTGACTAGATATCAATAAACTATTTTTAATTGTCAAAAAAAATTGTCAGTGCACCACTTCACGTGCTGACAAGCAAATTGTACGCATGGCAGTGACAGATCGCTCAGTCACATCACGAACCGTAGCACAGCACATTCAGTCTGTAACACATCATCCAGTGTCTGCGCGTACCATTCGACGCCGTTTACAGCAGTGTGGTCTGTTCGCAAGACGTGAGATATTATTTATATATGCTTTTTACTAATTTTAGTATTGAAAATTATATTTAAGAAAAAAAAGGCATGTCTTTCAACATATTTACATTTTAAAATAGTGTTTTCATATAAATAATCTTAAAATATTTTTTAAAAAGTAATAACACACACATTCGTAAATCTGAAAAAAAAAAACAAAGATTTAATTTTCCAATTCACAGATTAATAATTTCTTATCATTATTTTTTTTAAACAAAATTTCGATGCAATCTATCAGAGCGTGGAGAAAATAAAATAATTAACAAAACCCCATTGAATATATTTAGATAAATTAAAAAATGAATGTGTTAAGAATTCTTCGTTTCTGTGGTGGAATTTCTGCAGGGGCCTTTGTAGCCTTAATGGTATACTACACTTTTCTTGTTTGGACAACACCGCATAAGAGATTCCAAGATTTAGAAAGCGATACAGAATCGGAATCGTAAAGATATCGATTCATGTAAGTTCTCCAGTAACCCTAACAAAGCCATAATGACGAAAAGTGGAAAAAAAGGAAAAATAAATCCATCTTGAACATTAAACAATCCAGAAAAAACCTCCTAATGAACAAGATATCCAAGGAGCTGAGGACCCAAAGATATCAATATAAAATATAATTGTAAATGAACTCTTGTATATAACCACATGCCTCACACATTATTGTAAATATGATGATCTAGGTTGCTCTTTTTGAGTGGAACATAATAAAGTTATTTTGGAAATAGAACCAGTGGCTTTATAAATATTCCAGGAGAGTTTTACTAGAATGTATTTCTCATGCTGTTGTTGTCGTGTCCAAAGAAGAGCCTCAGATGTATCCGTGCATCTCTATCATAGCAGTCGCAATGTCCACTATCTTGGGTGTGTAAAGCTGCTGCTCTGGGTCTAAGTCAATTTTCTGCAAGATTGCGGCCATTGCTGGGCATGAGAATATGTGGGTAGGTGTTAGTTCCACACCAGGACAGTTGTTGAATGTCCTATAGGTTCTTGTGCCATCTGGATGTATTGTCATTCCTTTATAGCGTTTCGTTCTGAATCTTGTTATAGTTTTTGTAATTCTCTCATAGTTTATTTCGCACATTCAATCTATTTTTTTTGCTGAATTATATTGTATTTTGACAAAGAATCAGCGTCAAATAATGACACTTGTTCTTTCCTTTGGCTCAACTTTCTGGCTTCCTTTGCTAATTCATCTGCCATCTCATTACCCCCGATCCCAACATGGGCAGGAATCCATTGTAGAATGCAGTTCTTCTCCAATGGTTCCAGTTGGGTAAGTAACGAGTGTATTTTCTGCGTGATTTTAGTATTGCCCTTCAGAATTAATTCTAGTGCGATATATTTCTCATAGCATGTATATATTAATAGCATCATAGCATGCATATATGAATAATAAAAAAAAAATTATCAAAAAGATTATCTGTTAAAAACCTTATAGCTGTAAATAATTATTGCATATTTTTTATTGTATCACTTTATTACTATAATTAAAAATATTTGCACATAAATTAGTTTTTTTACTATACTGGGTGGGGACCCGAACGAGCGTGGTAATTAAGAACCATAAAATCACGTAGAAAATATGGAAACATGAGAATGACAAAGTCATTTATTTTGATCAAAACAATTACAGTTAAATCTGTCTATAGCGCCCCCTTTAAATAGCGCCCGATTTTAAATACGTAGTACGATGCGATTTACATTAAAGGTGACCTGTCTATAGCACCCTCTCTATAACACCCTATTTTGGTGAGTCCCAAGAGGGGGCGCTATAGACTGGTTTAACTGTATTAACAAATTTTAACAATAAAATGTGCTGAATAATTACAAACCTAGATAAATGATATATCTGTTGATTAAAAATACAGTATTATGCTTCGATTATTACAAAAACTGGGTATAAATGTAGAGAGAATTTAAAATATTTTTATTAAGAGCTCCATTCAACCTATCAAACAGTATACTAAAGGAGGACTTAAACCAACACGATCTAGAAGATATGTACCAAATTTCCGTGTTAAGAAATGATACCTTCAATTAAAAAATTCATCTAATCCTACTGTTCCAAATTTTCTAAATTAAGACCTAGTCTTTTGATTCTTCTTATTTCTGTATCCATGAAGTTGTCTTACCTTATTAGGCTTCTATCCGGCTCGAGGTATTTGTACCTGGTGTAGTGATGCTAGATCATTTTGTAATGCCTTCCACGATTTTTGTAATCCAACTGGAATAGGCTCATCCCATGTTAGTTTTGCACCTACTATACAAGGTATTCTTCAAAATAAAGAAGATATCAATCCTCGATTCCGACGACCTGAGGCTTAGTTAGGAGCTCATCACCCAACAGCTGCAAGGTCTGGGGGCCACCTCTACTCCACCAACTAGCCATGTGTAAATAGCCAAGACAAGGTGACTTGAATGTAACATCTGTAAATTGAGGTGAAATTTAAAAAATATTTATTTACTAGAAAATTTTCCCGTCGTACATTCGACGATATACATAACTATGGTTATTTGAGCGCAGAATTCATTGGAGTATTTAGATGCGTTTCCTGTTTATGGGACATCTGAGGGATTAAGATACTTAAAGTAACATTTAAAATACAATATAACGCGGCTGATGATTGTAAAACGAAAATTGAAATTATACCGCGAATGTTTCTTTTATAAAAATCGAAATTTATTTTCAAAGAGAAATAGCGACATTTCTAACTTTGAGGATGAGGTATGGAAAGTTGAAACATGAAGAGTAATGGCGAACGGAAAAATAAAAAGTGTCCAGGGGCGGGAATCGAACCCACACCCTTCTGCTTACCGGGCAGGTGCCTTGTCCACTCGGCTAATGTAAGCAGAAGGGTGTGGGTTCGATTCCCGCCCCTGGACACTTTTTATTTTTCCGTTCGCCATTACTCTTCATATTTCACCTTTCCATACCTCATCCTCAAAGTTAGAAATGTCGCTATTTCTCTTTGAAAATAAATTTCGATTTTTATAAAAGAAACATTCGCGGTATAATTTCAATTTTCGTTTTACGATTAAGATACTGCCAACGGATTTACCCATCTTTGCTAGAAGCGCGCGCGCGCGCTACTCACAAAAGGGAAATTTAGAAATGTATCCTTAAATTAGATAGATATCATATTGCTCGCTTAGCAAAAACGCCTTAATTATTAAAAATGCATTCTCATTGGCATCAAAATGATCATTTTATCATCATAAGGTAAAATACTTATGTCTAATATCATTTAATATTCTTGATTATCAGCATAGAATTCTCCAATGGCCCCGGATTCTTGCAAAAGTCCAATTCCACCAGCGAGTGCAAGCAACTAAACGGGGCTTTGGTACATTTGTAAGTGTAAAGTCGAACTGCTTTTCACGTGTATAGACATGTGGTGCACTTACAGTAAAAGCAGTCGCCTACTTCTACCCAACATGATTATTATGGCCTATACTACGTGTAATAGGGATAAGCAAAACTAAAAAAACATAGAATTTATCATTATGATCATGACCTAACTAAATATTCATTGTTAGTATCATACATGATTGGCGCGAAGTAGAACTCCGAATATGTTGATCCAAACCTATCTAGATTGATTTAACACCCAAAGAACTCCTATATAGAGAAAATGTGTTGATAACCTAAACCAAGAATTGGTCGCTATAAGATTTTAAAGGCGACATGAATATTGGACTTGAAAAGCGCGGTTAATAAAGAAAAATGATAGCAAAAGTATTTTTATAATGTTGAATAAAAGTTCATTCAAATTCGAATAAAACGTTTTATTGGTATGTTTATTTAAGGAAAGTGTTCCAAAGTTAGCATTAAAATAATTTCATTGAATAAAAAAAATGCCCCGTGTGAGGATCGAACTCACGACCTTCAGATTATGAGACTGACGCGCTACCTACTGCGCTAACGAGGCGATGGGTTATCTTGTTTCTTATACTTTATATATATTTTCAAAATATCATCCCTCTTTTTACAATTCTGTACATGGGGGATAGGGGAAGGGGGGTGGGGTATATAGATTATATTAACATTAATTCATTTTATAATAATAAAAAAAAACACTTTGAGATATATGAGTTTGTAATAAATAATTTAATTTTAAAATTTATTTTCTTCTCTTATATTTCATTTCGTATTTGTATTTTTAAAATTACACACTTTTTTATTCATTAAAATATAGTGATATTGAAAACTCTTAAACCAACGAATTTTTCAAGTGAAAAGGGTCTAAAAGAATTTTTTAAAAACCTATTTTATATATTTTCCCAATTCCTTGATTGACTACGCTATGCATTTTGTTAATTTTATAGTTCGTCTTAACTAAATTTAATCATTTCCTTCTTTTTGAAACGAAAAAAAAAAAGATTTGAAAAATGAAACTGGGCGAAGCAGAGTAATTTGTCTAGTAAATATTAAAAGTAAAGAAAAATATTATTTTTCATGTTCATTAAGGGCACCTCTCCATTAGAAAATATTGTTTGTTTTATCATTTAATCAATATCTTTATTAAGGCCTTTAGTCTTATATAGAGATTCTAAAAAGAGATACTAAAAAGAAGTGAGTAAAGTTTGCTTTGCGTAGAGGCGATATCTTAGCCAGTGAGGAACTTCCGAGGCGCGATTATTGCTAGTTGAAAACTTTCATAAAAAGAAGTGATAAAAACAGAGAGAAAGAAATTATAATTTGCAATGTCAGATAAAATATACGTAAAATAGAGGTCTAAGTGTTGTTTATTTTAATATAAACTAGAGATGTAAGGTTGCAGAGCTATTTAGCACATTTATAAAGTAAGTTGTAGATTTAAGGGACCCCTGGCAGCTTTTTAAAATATTCCTAACGGCTTGACCTATCTTTTCTCGAAATTACTCACATGAGGAAATTTTAGAAATGCAATCTTAAATCGAGTAAATATCATATTGTTGGCTAAGAAAAAACGCCTTGTATGATTATTAAAATTCCTCTTCATTCGCATCAAAATGATAATTTTATCATTGTTCGAATTGTAGATTTAGATTTGAGTATTTATTTAGATTTGAGTTAATGAATGAATGATTAAAACTTTGCCAAGAATTGAGTAGGTTTTATTACCACAAATTCGATTACAATAATGATAATGGTAGGAGATTAAAAAATGTCAACAAAACACCAACAGTGCCAAGTAACAAAATCACAGATTAAAAGAAAATAAATAAATCAATGAAACAAAATGAATTTAAGAAAAATGCAAATAAATGAATTAATGAATATTTACATTTGAATCCAACATACTCCCCCACAACCTTGAACTATATACCAGTTCAAGAGCTCACTCCTTGTAAGGCAGAGGACATATCTTGGTTATTGGTCTCTTCAGAAGGCCTTTAGGAGTACGAAGAAGCACCACTCTGACATGATCATCTTCTCCTGGGAATATCTGGACAATTCTCGCCAGTTTCCATTGTAGTGGTTTGTTTTGTTCCTTCAACATAACCAAATCTCCAATGTTGACATCCGGATGTGAAGTCCTCCACTTCCTTCTTCCTTGGAGTTGATGTAGGTATTCACAACTCCAACGGTTTCAGAAGTAGTCTCTTTGAGGTTGAATCGGACTCCATCTGGAGCGAAGATTCAAATTAGAGTGATCAGATTCTGCATCATGTCGTATAGCATTTCCTTTAAGAAAATGTCCTGGTGTTAACGCTGTTAAGTCATTTGGATCATTGCTAACAAAGGTTAATGGTCTGGAGTTAAGACAGGCTTCAATTTGAGCCAATAAGGTCAGTAACTCCTCGTAATTCAATAACCTAGATTTCATGGTTTTAGATAAGATGGTTTTAACTGATTTAATGCCAGCTTCCCATAATCCACCAAAGTTAGGTGCCGACGGAGGAATGAAATGCCAATTAATGGATTCTATGGCTGAAAAATCTTGAATATTAGCAGCATTGAACAACTTCCATCGTTCTTTCAAAATGTTGCTTGCACCTTTAAAGTTAGTTGCATTGTCTGAGTATATATCAGTTGGTCTTCCTCTTCTAGAGATGAATCTTTTCAATGCTGCAAGAAAGGTTTCCGCAGTCAAATCTGATGAAATTTCTAAGTGAATGGCTTTGGTGGTGAAGCAAACGAATAGGACTATGTAGAATTTGAAAATAACTTTGCTTCGTTTCAACATAGGTTTAGCTTGAATGGGACCGGCCAAATCAATACCAATCTTTTCAAATGGTCTACCTGGAAGAAGTCTATTTTTTGGTAAGTCTCCCATTATCTGATGAATAGCCTTAGATTTACTCTTCAGGCATACGAGACATTGATTTAAGACCCTTTTGATTAAGTTTCTTCCAGAAGGAATCCAAAATTTATTTCGAATCAAAGATAAAGTTAATTGAGTTCCAGAATGAAGATTGTTTATGTGATAGTGCATTACAATTAATTTGGTTACCAAATGATCTTTAGGAATTAGCATAGGATGCTTCTGATCAATATCTAAATCCGAATGACGTAATCTTCCGCCTACTCTAAGAATTCCTTGGGAATCTATAAAAATGTTAAGCGAAATAAGCCTGCTTTTTCTTGGTAATGGAATATTTTTTATGCAAGCATTGATTTCTGGGGTGAATTCACATCTCTGAATAATCTTGACGATTTGTAATAGAGAGTCTTTTAAGTCTTGGGATGTTAGAAATGAGTCTTTGAGTTGGCTGTTTTCTGGTAATATTAATAAATCTTTTACACCAAGCCATGACCCTTAAAAGTTTGGTAAAGGAAGAATATTTTGAGAAAAACTCTGGGCATGGTTCTGCTATTGTAGCATGCAGTATAACACTACGCTCTTCTAAACCCATAGAAGGGTCTATAGTGAATGAAGGAATATTTTCAGAACAATCCAATGCCAACCAAACGGGTCCATGCCACCATAATTTTGAATTGATCAAACAGGAAGGCAGAATTCCTCTCGTTGCAAGGTCTGCAGGATTTTGCTTGCCTGATATATATTGCCATGAATGGGCTGCAGTCAGATCTTGAATCTTTGCCACCCGATTGGCCACAAATATCTGCCACTTCTTTGATTCAGAAGTAATCCACGCCAGAACAATCTTTGAATCTGTCCAATAGAATTGTTCATCGATATTAAAGGGAAGTGCTTGAGTTGTCTGCGATTGAAGTTGCGCCAACATCAAGGCTGCGAAAAGCTCAAGTCTTGGTATGGTTATTTTCTTGATGGGAGCAACTTTTGTTTTTGCTGTCAAAAGAATGGTCTCAATTTGATTATTCTCATAAGTTATTCTCAGATAACAGACAGCAGAATAAGCCAACTCTGATGAATCACAGAATCCATGCATCTGCATATTGGATATTAATAAATTCCGTTGGAATATACACCTTGGAATACTGATTTGTTGAAAATGCTTCATTTCTCTTTCAAAAGTATTCCACTTTATTTGAATAGAAGCAGGTATATCTTCATCCCAGCCACATTTCAATTTCCATATTTCTTGGAGGAGAAGTTTCAGCACAACTGTGGTAGGGCAAAGCCAGCCACAGGGGTCATAAATTCTGGCTATAGCCGATACAATTTGTCTCTTTTATTTAATATCAGCTGGACCAGATTTACAAGAAATGTTGAGGGTATCATAACTTGGATCCCATTGGATTCCAAGAACGTTCACGCCTGATTCCTTTCTATTAAATTCCATCACCTCACCTTTTCCTCTCAATAATAAAGGTAAGTCTTCAATTATAGAAGTTTCATTGGATACCCATTTTCTCAGGACGAATCCACCAGAACCCAATACAGCAATCAATTGTTGCACGAGTCCCTTGGCGTCTTCCACTGTGGGGCATCCAGTCAGAA